TCACCTGTACACTCACGTACACACTCACCTGTACACTCACCTGTACACTCACTCACCTGTACACTCACCTGTACACTCACCTGTACACTCACCAACACACTCACCTGCACACTCACCTGTATACTCACCTACACACTCACCTGTACACTCACCTGTACACTCACCTACACACTCACCTGTACACTCACCTGTACACTCACTCACCTGTACACTCACCTGTACACTCACCAACACACTCACCTGCACACTCACCTGTATACTCACCTACACACTCACCTACACACTCACCTGTACACTCACCTACACACTCACCTGTACACTCACCTACACACTCACCTACACACTCACCTGTACACTCACCTTTACACTCACGTGTACACTCATATGTACACTCACCTACACACTCACCTACACACTCACCTGTACACTCACCTGTACACTCACCTACACACTCACCTGTACAGTCACCTACACACTCACCTGTACACTCACCTACACACTCACCTGTACACTCACCTACACACTCACCTGTACACTCACCTACACACTCACATGTCCACTCACCTACACACTCACCTACACACTCACCTGTACACTCACCTGTACACTCACCTACACACTCACCTGTACACTCACCTACACACTCACCTGTACACTCACCTACACACTCACCTGTACACTCACCTACACACTCACCTGTACACTCACCTACACACTCACCTGTCTACTCACCTACACACTCACCTGTACACTCACCTACACACTCACCTGTACACTCACCTGTACACTCACCTACACACTCGCCTGTACACTCACCTGTACACTCACCTGTACACTCACCTGTACACTCACATTTACACTCACCTACACACTCAACGGTACACTCACCTGTACACTCACCTATCCACTCACCTACACACTCACCTGTACACTCACCTACACACTCACCTGTACACTCACCTGTACACTCACCTGTACACTCACCTACACACTCACCTGTACACTCACCTGTACACTCACTCACCTGTACACTCACCTGTACACTCACCTACACACTCACCTGTACACTCACCTGTACACTCACTCATCTGTACACTCACCTACACACTCACCTACACACTCACCTACACACTCACCTGTACACTCACCTGTACACTCACTCACCTGTACACTCACCTACACACTCACCTACACACTCACCTGTACACTCACCTGTACACTCACCTACACACTCACCTGTACACACACCTACACACTCACCTGTACACACACCTACACACTCACCTGTACACTCACCTACACACTCACATGTACACTCACCTGTACACTCACTCACGTGTCACTGCTGGCCGTTCCGTGCCAGGGCTTTGTGGCGGTGAGGTTCGCCGGCGAGGAGCGTTGCCATCTTAGACGCCTCACCAGGACTCAGCCACCCCCACCTGGGCACAGCCAAAAGGTGCCCTCACCGCTACACAGAACCCACTCCCACCCCTCACCCCACCCCTCACCCCCCTCACCCCCTCACCCCCCACGTCTACACAGAACCCACTCCCACCACTCCCCCCCCCCTCACCCCCCCTGACCCCCCTCACCCCCCCTGACCCCCCCTCACCCCCCCATCACCCCTCACCCCTCACCCCACTCCCCCCTCCCCCCACTCCGCTCACCCCCTCCCCCCACACCCCCTCACCCCCTCCCCCCACTCCCCCTCCCCCCCTCACCCCACACCCCCTCCTCACCCCCTCCTCAGCCCCACTCCCCTCTCCCCTGCCCCTCCCCCCACTCCCCTCCTCACCCCCTCCCCCCACTCCCCTCCCCCCACTCCCCTCCTCACCCCCTCCCCCCACTCCCCTCCCCCCACTCCCCCCTGCCCCTCCTCCTTCTCACTCCCCTCCCCCCACTCCCCCTGCCCCTCCCTCTCCTCACCCCCTCCTCACCCCCACTCTCCTCTCCCCGGCCCCTCCCCCCACTCCCCCCCCGGCCCCTCCCCCCAGGTGTTGGTGGAGGTCCCCGGCCTCACCGCTCCAGACGCCTCCTCCCTGGGGCAGCCAATCAACGCGCTCTGCCGCGGAGTGCCCATCACGTGGCTGCGGGAGGGTAAACTCTCTAGTACCTCGTAACACGTGACACCGGCAACACGACACCGGCAACACGACCCCCCTGCCCCCCCCCCACTACCCCCCCCCACTCCACCCCCCCACTCCCCCCCACTCCCCCCCACTCCCCCCTATCCCCCATCCCCCCACTCCAACCCCCCACTCCCCCCCCCCCCACACTCCCCCCCCACTCCCCCCCTACCCTCCATCCCCCCGACACCCCCCCTACCCCTCCCACCCCCCCCCACCCCTTCCTACCCCCTGCCCCCCCATCCCCCCCCACTCCCCCCCTGCCCCCCCTATCCCCCATCCCCCCCACTCCCACCCCCCACTCCCCCCCCCCCCCACTCCTCCCCCCCACACTCCCCCCCACACTCCATCCCCCCCACTCCGCCCCCCACTCCCCCCCCTACCTCCCATCCCCCCCCACTCCCCCCCCTAACACTCCCCCCCACCCCTTCCTACCCCCTGCCCCCCCCTCACCCCCCCTACCCCCCACCTCCCCCCCCCCCTCACCCCCCCTACCCCCCACCTCCCCCCCCCCCCTCACCCCCCCCTACCCCCCAGCCCCCTCCCCCCGTGCCGCGCGTCTCCGCAGGCAGCTGGACCCCGGCCAGGAGGAGTACCCAGAGGGGGCCCACGGGGAGGAGGAGGAGGGGGGGGAGGAGGAGGAGTACCAGCCCGAGTACTGGACCCAGGAGAGAGAGGTACTCACTGTGCTTTAGCCACCCGGCGCTCCGCTCGTTGTTGTGAGCGTCGCTCCTCCGCCCTCCGTTGTTGTTGGAGGGCGACTGCCTCCAACTGCCCAGTAGCATCCTTCACGAGCCTCCTCCACAGAGGCCGATCTTGACACCGCTGGTACCAGTCATCGGCAAGTCCACTCAGCTCCACGTCCTCCTGTACCACATCATTCCATCTCTTCTCTAGCCCGTGCCGCGCCCGTTTAGCCCCCTCGATCCGGCCGAACGAAAGCTGTTTCGGCATGCGTTGGCTGGGCATGCGGGCTACATGACCCAGCCAACGCAGCCTTGCCTGCCGGAGGAGCTCACCGATGGGACCTTGCCCAGATCTTTCAAGGATTTGTGAGCTCCTCACACAATCCAGTCTGGTTAAACCCAGGATGGATCGAAGGCAGGCCAGCCTAACTGTTTCTAACCGGCGAAGATGTTCCATTAGGGGGGGTCCACGTTTCGCAAGCGTGGAGAAGAGAGGGAATGACCGTGGCCGAGAAGACCTGAAGCTTAGTACGGAGCGACCGATGAAAAGATATTGCCGCTCGACTGATTCGGTGTGAGACCTCTGCTGTTAAACCGGAGCCGGTCATGAGCACACTGCCCAGGTATGGGAAACTCTCCACTCTCTCCACAACTGCCCCATCACCGATTGGGAGTTGTGGGGGTGGAGTGTCCGATGGTACAAAATACCCAGGCAGGTGCTTAGTTTTGGTGGGGCTGATGGTAAGGCCCCACCTCTTAGTAGCACGCTCCAGTCTCAGCAGCAGCGTCTCCAACTCCTCCTCTGAGTGAGCGGCAATTACCAAATCATCAGCATACATAACGTGGTTGAGCAATAGGGAGCCATCCCTTGACCGCACATCGATCAGCCTCCCATTGTATCTGTACCAAATGGAGATTCCCCCGGTACAGCTATTGAAGGCTTCACGAACTACGTGGTCGAAAAATGTTAAATAATATGGGAGCCAGAGGACATCCCTGTCGCACCCCAAGGTGTACAGAGAATGACTCTGACTCCCGGCCACGTAGTTTTACCCGGGCCCGCTCACCATCATGAAGGTCCTTAATGATCATGAGCAGAGGGTCAGGGACTCCGAAAGCACGAAGAACAACCCAGAGCCCACGCCTACTGATGGTATCATAGGCCTTGACCAGGTCAATAAAGCAGAGATGTAGGTCTTGCTGGAATTCCCTACACCTCTGCTGTAGCAGACGGACAGAAAATATGGCATCTGTGCAGGACCGCCCTTTCCTGAAACCGCATTTGGGGCTCCGCAAGCCTCTCCTCAGCGTGGCTGGCAAGGCGATGCTGAATAATCCTTGCCAGGACCTTTCCCGGCACACTGAGGAGTGAGATGCCCCTGTAGTTGTTACAGTCTGTGCGGTCCCCCTTCTTAAAGAGGGGAAGAACCACCAGGGCATCCTTCCAATTTTTTCGATTTAAAGCTTTCGTGACTGCAAGGATTCATCTTCTTTGGTTCTTTCGGTAAAGTCACCACCACGTAGAATGAGAATAAAATAATAAATTGATAAAATAAAATAACACAATAATATTCTCACGACGTTTCGGGCCAACAACACAAGCGGCCTTCATCGGCGCTGTCCTACCAGACAAGTCTCGTCCCTTCACCTGATGAAGGCCGCTTGTGTTGTTGTGGCCGAAACGTCGTGAGAATATTATTGTGTTATTTTATTTTATCAATTTATTATTTTATTATTCTCATTCTACGTGGTGGTGGTGACTTTACCGAAAGAACCAAAGAAGACGAATCATTGCAGTCAC